CATTTATCAAGTGGCAAACAAATAAACGCGCGCCCATTGTTATTATTGGCATTATTGCAAAATAAACGTGAATGTGGGTCCAAGGATCGATGTAACTGGCGCACAGATACAAATTGCTTTATTCAAAAATATTCTGTCCTGTAATTTAGCCTGTCACATTTGCCAACGCCCCAAGCATGGATATTGATGGCTGCGTGACCGAGAACCTTTCCGCTTCTCTTTGGCCAGCTGTATACATTGATTGTTATTCCGACTATCCAGCATAAATTATCAAAAAATTATGCAGATCGCATGCTCAGAGAAAACGAATCGAATTGCTGTATGGCTAAGCGCATGAAATCGCATGTCTTCTGAGTGTTGAGAGCGAGAATCGCATGGGACAAGAGAACTAAGCGAGTTTCTTGGAAGCCGAGCAATGCCATTGAGATAGGCTCTCTTTGTTTCATTTCCTTTCTATCTACTAAGCGATTCCAAATGGTTCTTTTAGCTGTTTTCAAATGAAGATCTATCTGAGGTAGCGATGTTGTTTATATGTGTCTACCAGCACCTTTTGTTCCTGTACATCACAATTCCTTCATTTCCTTATTTTTTCCTCTAAGCTATGTGAATATTTCTTTTGCAAAGTATGAAATGCTCAGTTGAAGCAAGCTGAGCATTTGCGAAGAAGATCTAGCATCCCATATAGTGTGCTATAGTCCCTTTCTTCTAAGAGATATGCGAATGAGCTTCCCTTGACAACTAGCAGGAGAGAGCATTGGGCTGAAGCTGCTTTTAAATGTCTTTACGCTCTCCTATCTCAGCAAAGAAAGACAAAGAACTGGCATAGAAAGTGAGAGAGAAAGTCAGAGGGAGTGAGAGAGCCAGATAGAGAGAGAGAGAGAGAGAGAGAGAGAGAGTCAGAGGGTGAGAGATAGAGGCAGATCTCTGTATAACCTTTCATTGAATAACTGTTTAAAAATATACAATAAATAACCCCATCCTAAGAAACATTCAATCTCAGTTTTATGACTCTAGTGTCTTCTTGCTCTTCTTCTTCGATATACAACGAAAACTAAAGAGTAATTCTCTGAAATATAGTCAGGTATATATTATGCTTCCCTAAATCGCAAATATATCATTTAGTTGACTTCTAACTAACACGATGTGAGCTGTGTTCATATCTCGATAGTGAAACAGATTTTTGTAGAAGCTGCCTACAAATATTCCTCGGCAGAAATTGAAGTAGAACTGAAACTGAAACTGAACTGCATCATTCTCTTTTAAAGCTCCTTTAAACTCAAATAAATGTTCTACAGGCATCTTAGCAAATCGACATGATCATGCGCTCAATTCATGACAATGAAAGACTTTCCCATTAAAGGCAGCTGAAATCGAATACAGAAGAAAACAATGTAAAAAACGGAATGAAGTTCCCGCCTGAATACTATAGTCCCATTCATTTTCCACAGCTCAAATCAAACTAAATAAGTTTCGTTATACCCAAATTTAATGAGATAATAACTTAATATCGTCCAATGCTCACATGGCATGTCTCAAATCTGAGACATCGAATGCTCATGCAAACTAAAGCGGCTTTTGGTCAGCTCGGAATGCTGTGGGAATGAATTAAGTGTTTTATTTCGAACAGGTTTCTCTGTTTTCTTGTGTTCGTGTCTTATTTCATTGTGTCTTTATTTATTTGTTTCCTTTTCTTTTTACTTTTTTTGCTGTTTTTCTTATTTTTATTTCATTTTATTACATTCTGGGCGCATAAAACATTAAGCATACGCACCGTGTGCCGCCTTTGCATCAATTGAGACATTTAACAAAAGGCCGACGCTGCCATTTACCTTTTTCGGCACACACATGTGCGTGTGTGTGTGTGTGTGTGTGTGCGTGTGTGGGAGCATGTGTAATATATGTATAGCGCGCCCTTTCCAGGCGAACCGGCACAGTGGTCTAAGCTCTATTTTTCCCAGGCAAACGCAAGTTTAGATTTTCTCTCACATTTATTTAATATTTTGAACTATTCTTCAAATGCTTTCACACCACTGTGCACAGATTTTGCTTCTGTTTTTTTATTTTTACTCGTCCCTACGTTTTAGTGTCAAATTTTCTATGAGCTGCTCATGCATGCGCCTTAAGCACTGTCCAACTAAAGGGTCGTGCCAGCCCCGCCCACTCGCCTCGCTGTGTCCGGCAGCAAGTTGGACAATTTTTGGTTTATTTTTATTTATTTGTTATACATGTATGCGTGTATTTCCTTTGTTGGTCAATTTCTTTGCTGCTCGTTGAACGCTCGTTTAGACATCGTTTTGTCATTTTGCTACAGCCGTGACCCCCCGAGCCCCTCGGCTGGCCCAAGCCAGCTGCTGGCCAGTCATGGCTGATTGGGTGGGTAGGGGGCAGGGAGCTAAGTGCTGGACGTGTGCCTTAAATGTCAAACCCTTTTCAAAAATAGTCAGACACGCCAGCCAACATTTCTGACTACCAGACTACAGTGAGCGAAACGCATCGTAAATTTTCGGCTCGTTCAGCTAGCAATTTGCATACACGCGCGTCTCTCCCTCTGTGTGTGTGTGTGTGTGTGCAGATAAATAAAATTGTATTATTAACACATTCGAGATGCCAGGCAATGTTTGGTCAAATGTTGCTAATGGGAGTAGGTCAGCAGATGCCAGGAGCTGCTCATGTGTCTAAGTATGTGTGCGTGTGCGTGTGTGTGCGTGCTGGCGCCTAATAGCCCCTCATTCAAATTGTTTACTTTGTCAGCCTCCGTTGGCTCTCTGTTTGCCCAACAGCTCCATCAAAGCGCAGCGTCTGCATATTAATCTCCGACGCACACAGATTTGATAGCGCCGCCCCTCCAGCTGGATATTCTGTCACCCAAGCCAAGTTACTTGTCTATCTGTCTCTCTCTCTGTCTGTCTGTCTATCTGTCTGTTGTGCTGTCTAGCTGCCAGCTTCAATATAATGCACCGACCCCTTGTCCAGTCGACAGTCAAGCGAGTGCAATTACTTTCATGCTAAGGCCCAGCATATCAAAGCCAACGACCAGCGAGCAAGCAGAGAGAGAGAGAGAGAGAGAAAGCGGCCAAGGAGCTGCTATCGCAACGCCAAGCGTTGCCAATGAAATTGCACAAATTCCCTCTCAAATTAAGTGGCCAAGTGGCAGCAGCCTTTCAAGTTCAAGCTCAAAGAACTGAACTCATACAGGCGCCGAAATCGACTCGACATCGCCATCGCCATTTGACTCAACATCTATCAGCAAAATTATCAAATAAATAGCTTTAAATATATAATTTGATTACGTGTTATCAATAATCATAATAGCCGACTGCCGCAGCAGCGGATCAGAGTTCACTTCAATGACTCGACTCAAGTCAACTGAAGTCTGTCAACTAAATAGATGAATACATACATATATATATACTATATATATTAACAGTATATATGTACATAGCATTTATATTCATGCCTGCAAAGCAGCTTTGGGCAGCTTACATCAATTTACTAATTAAATAAAATGTGATATATATAGTATAAATACTCATGGGAATATGAACGACTCGACTAGCCTATACCCTCGGCTGTGATATATTCAACTTGAATTCCTTGGAGCATCAAATTCCGTTCTACTCTCCCACTCTATCTATATTTGCCTATATAAGTATATCTCTCCTGTAATAAATCTCTCTGCATTCTTCAACTTGATATATTTATAGAGCTCAGATGTCTATCGCAATACTCTCTTTAGGATAGTTTTATATGTTATACAGACTGTTCGACTAGCTTACGGCAATTCTCTCATATCCCATCTCTCTCCTTTGATCAGTGAATATCCTTATCTCATCAACTCTCTTCAACATTTCAATACAGGGTATACAGGGCTGTGATAAAAGGTAAAATGCAGTCAAAGGGATTTCCAATCAGTCAATTGAATGGCATAAAGAACAACGACAATATCGAGCCAAAAGCCATGCAATCAGCAGAGTAGCCTTTCTCTCTCTCTTACTCTCTCTTTCTATATATAGACGAGTCCTTGGGCAAAAGCTTAGATAATTCTACAACTGCTGTTGCGGTTGCTGCTGCTGCTGCTGCTGCTGCTGCTCCTGCTCCTCCTGCTGCTGCTGCTGTGGCTGTGGCTGTCAGACAACAGGCAACAGGCAGCTGGCAACAGGCGGTGCAATGCACTCCCAGCGGGGCAGCGATGCCAGAAGGCTACAAGACATTGTCAGGATCAGAGCTGTGGGCTGGAATGTTGTTTGCCTGAAGATTTTGGGTTTTGTGGCCACTTTTTGCATGTTTATGCGAATGTCCTCACATTGACCCTCATTTGCGAAAGGGTCGCGCATATTTATGTCTGTATGTGTGCGCGCAATTAGTAAGCAGCAACCACAGTAGCAGCAGCAGCAGCAGCAGCAGCAGCAGCAGCAGCAGCAGCAGCAGCAGCAGCAGCAGCAGCAGCAGCAGCAGCAGCAGCAGCAGCAGCAGCAGCAGCAGCAGCAGCAGCACCAGCAGCAACAGCTGCCCAACGGCTGACCTTAGTTCAAATTTAATGAGTCGCGCGCGAAACTGAGCCGCAGCTTTTGCAATTAGCTCGAGCTCAACATGTAGCCGAAAGCAATTAGAAATCAGACGCCGACCCAGTACTCCACAGAAATTGCTCAGCTGTTGATCAGACAAGAAATTATGCAAAAACAAAAAACCAAAAAAAAAAAAAAAAAAAACAAAAAACAAAAATTAAAATTCTAATAAAAAAAGGAGGCAGAAGCAATATTAAATGCTTAACACGGCTGCTGACCCTAAAGGGTCTGCGTATGCATTGATTTGAATAAATGCCGCGTCTTATCAGCTCAGCGCGACCCATCGGGCGTATGCGTGATAAACGACCTGCGAAACTGAAGACTGACAGCCAGTCAGCCGGTCAGCCAGCCCGGGATCAGTAATAAATTACCATAGACGCACTCAAACTAGGCCCGAACTGCATATGTACTAAAATGCTTTGCATTTCGTTTCAGCCAACGTCAATTGAACCGTAGCCGAATATCCTGGGAGAGCGAGTACTACAGCGCCACACGTAAGTATAGATTCGCATCAAATAAATCATAATAAAGAAAGAAATGAAAGCGAAGCATGATTCCGCATTATAAAATCTGGCAGACAACTTTGGCAAACTTGGCTCGTAAAACAAAAGATTATTTGTAATATTCATTATGCAGGCATACAAAGTGGAGCCGAGCCGAGTCGAGAGTCGAGAGTCGAGGCTATAAGAAATGCTCTTGGATTAATGAAATATGGCCAGAAATTCAATTGCAGCATTTGTGCGGCAGATAAATCGAATCGAAGCTGAAGTGAACGTCCGAGATATATGTATGTATATATTAACAATCTTTGGCTGCACTCACACTGTTGTTATTGTTGTCGTTGTTAAGCACATTATTGTAGCTCTTGTTGTCGTTGTTGTTGGTGCTGCTGTTGTTGCTGCTACTGTTGTTGTTGTGCTTGCCTTGGCCAATCGTAAATTGTGAGCTCGTATCTTGATTGGCATTTTGAATGCCACTTGGTGTGTCTTTCAACAGCAGCGACAGATGTGGGCGTTCATTTTTAGGTTGAGGGCGACAACGACAACAACAACAACAACAACAACAACAATGGCAACGACAACAACAATGAACAGCAGCAACACTGGACAATGAACAATATGACCTTTGGCGCTATTGTTGCTGGTTGACGAGCGCTGCTTTTTCGATTTTAAAATGCTTAACAAACAAGTGGCAAGTGCTGAAATCACAAATAATAAATAACAACAGCAACATCAACAAAGGACAACAAATTTATGTGGCACACGCGCCCGTCTGGCCGAGATTTGGTGGCCTCTTAATGGCAAATGGCGAATGGCGAATGGCGAATGGCGTATGGGATATGGCCATTGATGTCTCAGACTCTAAAGTGGCTCCGTTCAAAATCTAAACTAACTAACTAACTAACTAACTAGGGGGCGACACTATGTATTATCACGGGAATCAAGTTTTTAATGCCATCGACAGCCCAGCGCAATTAGTGGGAGTTGCTCGTGTTTATGTCTTTCGCACTCGCCACTCACTCCTGGGAGCAAACTTCGGTCTGGTGAACTTTACGAGGTGACGATTGCCACTGCACATATAAAGATAGACAGATAGTGAAAGAGACGGGGAAGAGAGAGAAACAGAGAGAGAGAGAGAGAGAGAGAGAGAGAGAGAGAGCTAGGGGTCAAGCTAAGCCCACGCTGAATATACGAAATGAATAAAAAGCTTTTTATTATCATTTAATGGAGTCAACTGCATAGAGATTTGTTGGGTCTAGAGCAGGAGTAAACGAGCCACAGCTCTGAGCTCTTGAGAATGCGTATATAAAATACGCAGAATAACTTTAGGGTTTGATGATATTTCACTAGTATATAGAAGACTTTCTCATTTATATATTCGCAGTTAAATTAGTTGGCTACAGGCTATTAAAGTTCTGACTGAGAGCTGAATATTCCTGCTACATTCCATTTTTCATCGGACTTTCCATCAATTGCCTAAAATTTTCCAGTTAATTAATTCATTTTAAAGTCACATTAAATTATAAAATATATGGTGTGATATTTTAGAGAGTTACAAATTATATCTTTTTATATCTATGTTTTTTTAATAATAATAATAATTATTATTATTATTATTATTATTATTATTATTATTTTTTTTTAATAATTAAATTGAATAAAACAAATAATTAAATGATTTTGTTTTTTTGTTTTTCGCTTAGCGTTAAAAATTAAATATGTATAAAAAATGAGTTTTTTTTACCATTTTAAAAGAGTCAATCTTTTTTTGCTAAAAATGTTTTTACTTCACATTGATTGAAATATCCTTAAAAAATACACAGTCAGATCATTTTTCTATATTTTTAAAGTTAATCTAAGATTTAACTTTTTTATAAAATATTGTAACTTTAAAAAGTCGTATAGTTTTTTAGTGAAGTAAAACATTGAATGAAAAAATTTCTTTTTTTATGTGTGAATATTTTTACAATTTTCAACATTATTTAATTTTATGAAACATTGTAACTTTAAAAAGTTGCAAAGTTTCTGCTGAATAATTTAAAACTTAAACAAACCATTAAGCAGGGCATACAGCCCACATGCCAGATTAGAAAAGCAAATAGGTAAAAGGCTAAGTTCGAGTATGAAAAGGTAAAGTCAGGCATAAGCAAAACCATTTATCAATCAAAGTTATGAAGCATTCAACAGACATTCAAAATTCACCTGTCTAAAGACGGCGAGTCCAAATCAATTTAGCTTGCCTTTCACTCGCCACTTTAATACAAGGCCCACAATTTCAATAGGCAAATCTTGTGAAAACTTTTCGACTAGTTTGCATGCCATAAAGAAATCCACAAATTTGGCCGATGTTTAATTACAGCGCTTCGAGTGCGGCTCTTTGGTTGCTCGGCTTGCTCCCAGTGGCATCGTACGCTGCATTACCGCAATTATCTTGGTGTGGCCACAATGCAGTAATAAACCATAAAGACGATGCCATAAAGCATGCCAGCAGCATTAGTCTGCCTGGCACATGATGTTGTAGCTGCGGAGTGGTTGCAAGGGGGGGGTAACGAGGTAAAGGGTTGCCGCCTTGCAGATTGGCACGAATTGCCAATGGGGTTCGGCTGGCCGTGAACTAACTAACAAACTCTTAACTTTTTAATGCACAACTTTTATGTAGCGGCTGGCTGTAAATTTGGGCCAACTGATTACGAGCGCCGACCAATGAAAGACCAAAAATAACAATGGCCAAACAATGAACCGATCTCGGCCAGCAGCGGCCTGCGGCAGTGGCCCACAATGCCAAGAAGTAATCAGAAATGAGAATGGAAATTTTACGTATGCATGTTCGTATGTTTCTACTTTAATGGGGCTCAGTTACCGAACTGTTGGCCAGCAGACAGAGAGAGAGAGAGAGAGAGAGAGAGAGAGAGAGAGAGAGAGAGAGAGAGAGATGGAGTGAGAGGGGGAGAGAATGAGAAGCACATATGTGTGTGTCATTAATATAAGTCGAAGGGTTTTCTTCGTTCGCCTATGATTTATAGTTGTAATTAAAATCTATGCTCGCCTCAGCTCCACAGAGAATTGTGCATAAGAATCTGAATATATATATGTGTGTGTGTGTGTGCTAGTGTGCGTTTCGCCACAATAAGCCGTTAAGACTTTTGTTAAAAGGCATAAAAAGACGATCACACAGCACAGCTTAAAGCGCCAAATGAATCCTTTTGTGCCGGAATTTAATTAAGCCAAATCTCACTAAGCATATACACACACACCATACACACACACACACACATATTACACACCACCCTGGTGCGTATGTGTAGAACAGCTGGGGTAGCATCAAAAGATGACAATGCCTGTCCAGCCGCGCACAATATTGCTTTATTGTTTTAAGCCCCCGGCTATGCCAACCCCGCCATATCTGTGGCCCGCCATATAGGGGCGACCTCGTCTGCTATCTTTTGCGTACAGCTGGCTTGTGCAAGCATTACCCAACAACAACAGCAACAACCACAGCAACAGCCAAAGAGTGAAAAGAATATCCAGTTTTATGTTCCGCAAGATTAAATACCCTTGCCCAGCCATCATAATTTTAAAGTCTCGTCCAGGCTAACTAAGCTGCATCCTCACTGGCTATCCATTAGCGCGAGCCATCAGGATTAAGTAATCAAAAAGGATATTGATGTGCTCCGAGCCACATCCGATATTAGCATTTCGAGGAAGTGTTTGACCAGGAGCTTTGACCGAGCAGCAAGAGTTTTAAGCAGACTTCAAGTCATATAGAAAATAATTATAAAACATAATTTCAATGGAAATACATGTCTAGATATCTGAAAGAGCTATCAATTCTGCCGAAAATCAATTTTTATATTTTATATAATTATTTAAACTTGAAATTTGAGTGTTGGGCTCATTTCATGTCATATAGAATTTCTGTCTCTCTCACTCTCATTCTATGCATATATCTGCCCCTTTAGCTCTTTCTCTATATACAGTCGAGTCTCATTAATTTTTATTCCGCTAAAGAAAAAATAACGATAAATCGAAAAAATAAATTCTGTCCCCTTGAAAAAAATGCATTCTCGATCATTCTCGATAATTTGAATTTCGATGTAATTCGAAGAAACTGCCATTTCGAATTATCGGGACTTTACTGTGCATATATAGCTCCCTCTCACTCTTTCATTTTCTTTCTCTCTTTCCCCTCCCTTTCTTTACTTTTCTCATTTCTAAACCTCTACCTTAGAATTCTCCCAAAAACTACAGCGTATGCTTTAGTTGTATATACATATGTATATACCGCCCTCTTACTCTCTCACTCTCCTTGTCTCTTTCATCTTCTCGCTCTCTTTACTTTTCTCATGTCCATCTTAGAGTTAATTTGTAGTTTTTCTCAAAAACTACAGCGTATGCTCTAGTCGTGCACTTCCGCCTCGCACGACCTCAATTGTTTAGACAAGTATTGTTAACTTGTTCCATGTGCAAAGCTGATAGTGATGTGCAACACAAAGGCAACATTTTGCTATATTGTAATAGTTAATCTAGCTTTTTCGATCAACAAAATTAAAGAAGCAAATAACAGAATTTGTTGTGCAAAAAATATGTAGAAAATAATTTAAGATAGTTGGAAACTCTGGCACTCTGCATCATTGTTTAGTCGCAAATAGTTGTGCTAAATATACTTCAATTATGCCACAAACAGCGCAAGTTCAGCTCAAGTTCATGTAACTATTTGGTATTCATGCTCAAATATTTCCTCCCTCTTTCTTTGCGAACTGCTAACAAAAGTTTGAGCAAGTCCAGCATGCTGAAGCTCAATTCAAGTTGTTTGTCCATAATATTTAACGCACTTTGCTTAAATACTGATTACAGTCGACGACGAGCCATAATCTTTATGTGCACATAACGCATAAAACAGTTGAATGAGTACATCAATTGATTTCGAATCACAGTCTCAGGGTGACAGTGCACAACTTTCCGAGCAATGAATCAGCTTTATGACTTACGTCTCG